CTGTCAAGACAGATCTCTTCCGGCAGGCCTTTCCGGACTAAATCCCCCGGCCTCGGGCTGTCCCCTCTTCCTTCAGCACCACCATCTGAACCCTGGTTCCCTGCGCAGTCTAATTACGGGGTAATGTGTTTCCTTTTAAATTATTTTAATTCTTATGATTTTTTTGTTTAATTTGTTTAATTAATCGGATTTTAATCATGTTACTGTTTAATAACGTTTTAAGGGGGGGAAGGGCATTCTGTTTATTGTCAATTGTGTTTTATGCTGTAAACCGCCCGGATTGGGTTACCATTGGGCGGTATATAAATAAATTTTATTATTATTATTATTATTAAACAATTTGTGGCCAAGATCTGAAAGGCTGCCCCCTCCCATATGAGCCTGCCAGAAATCTGGGATCTTCAGAGTTCCTGCTGTGGCTCGCAACACCTTCTGAAGTTAAGCTGGTAGGTACATATAACAGGGCTTTCTCTGTAGCAATGCCTTGACTATGGAACTTCCTACCCAAGGAAGTTAGGCTGGCCCCACCTTTTTAAAGCTTCAAGCAGGCTGCTAAAACAATGCTATTCCATATGACATTCAGATTTAATTTTGTTTTAACTGTTTCAAAACTGGATTCTAGTGTTTGTGTATGGATGATGAGTGTTGTAGCGATGCCTTTTGGCACCCAGCAGAGTCTGCAGGACAAGCTGGCTGCTGTGATCCACAGCCACTTTTATAATTCTTACCATCAACTGTAGTTCAGCTTCCCTTCTTCAGGATCCTGTCTTCCTCAGTCAAGAAGACACATTGTAAAGTCCAAAAGCATAGCTTTATTAATGCATATAAAAAGTAAAAATAAAATAACTAAGTAAAATCCATTGTGATGAACTTGTCCAGTTCAGCCATGAAAGATTACATCTTTAACAATCCAAAAGCATTAAGATCCAACTTGTTATAGTTGAAAACCACTGTTTTCAGCCACACATGCTCACATCTTGAACAATAAACAATTTAGACAAAGAAGATTCTAGGCCCTTCCCATACTCCACCTTCTAGGTGTTAACCTCATGTTA